TCTTACTTCAGTTCCTCAAAATCTAAATAATTTTTGCCTTTAGCTCCCCTTCGTGCCAATTTCTACGCCGCCAAGCAAAAACCATTAATTTCTTTACGTGCATGTTCTTACGAGAGTCACACGTATACCGTTTATATTTAATGTCCAAGTTTAATGAAATGACCAAATTAAACTAATTAAAAATATAAAAAATCAAATTATTTCTAAATTAATATATTTGATCAACCACAGGAATTAAAAGTATACTTTACAAAATAATAAATAAATGAAATCGAAATTAATAATTATAAGCTTTCTCTCCTTGCATAATTGCCGATTTTATTCTTTGATTCTTATGATCAGGATTGGAGAAGGGTAATTCAATGGACTAGTGCCCGGTCATAATCTTTAACATTTATGGTACCGGTGAGGCCCCTTGGGCCTCCGGGACATTCCGGAACCCTCTTACTGGGTGGGCCTTGCCCTCAGTTTGCGGACTCAGGCTCGGTTTTCTTCTGTTTTCTTTTCACCGAGGGGGAAGGAGAGGTCCCCGTAGACCATCTCTCAGTGGCCATAGGCTACAATTTTGTGGCCACAGATAGTAAGTCTATGTAGCAGGCCATTTTGCCATCATTTCGGAGTCCGGTTTTTCCAGTTTTTCTTTCAGGACTGTTGGTCGTTGTGGCCTCGTTCGGGACCAGCCTAACCATTCTTCCGTTTTTCTTCTGATTTTTTGGCATCACTTTCATTTTTACTTTGTTCCCTTTTGAGGGATACTGGGTGTCTGGAGAAAACCCCACTTCGTGGCCGGACAGCACACTTTCCCGGTTGCTTTGGGCAGCTCCTCATTTTCGGAACCCCGAACTGCGTGTTTTGGCCCAACGAGCAATTCCGTTTTGCATCGGTTGTTTCGTTCATTTTTTGGCAGATGCCTCTGTTTTCATTTCACCAAGGAAGGGTCAACTGAGGTGTGGAGGGCCCCGCAATTATCTTGGCAAACCAGTTTATATTCCCATTTTCCCGCTCTACCTCTTCGACACCGACAACCGTTTTTTTCGCACAAGTTACCGAGCCAAATGTTGAACATCCTTGGGGCCACTTTGTTATTCCTTCAAACCGCCAACCACATATTTTGTTTGTAACAAGACACAATGGGAGGCAACCCCTAAAAGTGGGTGTTTGCCGGCCAGAAAAATTCATTTGACTCCTTTTGGAACCCCTCTTAAAAATGGCTTGTTTCTCCTCTCCTGTTTTAGAAATTTCCCAAAATTCGAACCACAGGGTTGTGATGAAGGGGAACCCCTGGGAGGGACCACCTTTTTGTGGTGGCCGGCCACTAAAAGCAAGTTGACCTTTTTGAAACCATAGCCGGCCGGCTAGGGGAGGGTGGCACGGCCGGCCACCCCGCTTAGCAAGTGCGTCAATAGGGGGACGGCCAATGATCCTCTCAATTGGCCTTTCTAAAACAGCTGTTAGCTGTTGTTCCCCAGAAACATCCTGTATCCGGGGGATTTTTGTGGGGGAAAGCCTTGGTCCTTTTCCCCCACCTTTCCTTCCATGCTTCCCCCTCTTTTGGTCCTTATAACCAGCTGCAAAGCATTGGTTATAAGGGGTTAGAAAAATTGGTCTTCAGCTTTGCCATAACAAAAAATCTCTCTATCCCATCACCTCTCTTTCAGCAAAAAAAACTCAAGCAAGTCCCTACACACACCATTTCCTTCTACACCACCAACACCCCACCCTTCCATCCTCCATTCCATGAAGTTTGAAGGGTTTCTCCCAGAGGCTAAAGGTGCCGCAGCTTGGTCCAAGAAGCAAACCAAAAGATATGGTCTACAAAAAGGTGAAGTTGCCATTTTCCCCCTTTTTTGAGCTTATTTTTGTCAACATTTCTTGAGCCATAATATGCTTTTTTGTTTTGCTTTGAGCTCCGGCCATAAATCTGAAAGTGGCCTTCTTTTGAGCTCTTTTTCACTTTTTCTTAAGGGCTCAACCCTGTTTAGCCCCCCAATCTTGCACTTGCTATTCAAAAAACCTTCCCTTGAATGGCTATTTTTTGCAATGCCTTGGCAAGCGCGCATTATGCTTCCATTTTTGGGGCATTTTAAACAGAACTTAAAAATAGTCTTATTGTTGAGCCCCTCTTCAACATTGAAGAAGGGCTCATCAAGTGTTTGCCGACATTCCATAGGTTGCCACTATGTCATGTTTTATCCCCCTCGTTTGGTCCCCATTTTTGCATGCTTTGGGCAGCCCATTAGTGCTTTTGTTTTTGGTTCATTTTAAAAGAGCTAGAAATAGTTTATTTTTGGCGCCATTCTTCATGTTTCCCATTAAAGGTCTTTGGCCGTTTGTTGGAATATTTTGTAGACGTTTGTGTTATAAGCCACTTTTTTTTGAGCCTACTTTGCATTGCATTTCCTAGCATGTTTGTATACTGTTTTTGGGGTTTTTTAACAGTTCTGTAAATAATGCATATTTTTGGTCCCTCTTCAAAAATGTTGTAGAAGGGAATTTTTTTCAAGTTTGGGTCTTTGCATATACCCAACTTGCACTTTTCAAAGCCACCTTTTGGCCCATTTTCCCTTGCATCAGAAGCTTAGCCATATCTATGTTTGTTTTTGAAAGGTTTTACAAGTTCTGTAATGTGCATTTTGGGCCCCTCTTCAATGTTGTTTAAAAGGCCCCTAAACCGGCTGTTTGGATCATATATAGCAGCTGGTGAGTTGCTTCATAATCTTATATTTAGGGGCCATTTTTTGCGTGCTAGTTTTGCCCATATTTTAATGCTTGCTGTTTGGCCATGATTTGTACTGGTAAATGCTTAATTTTGGGGATTTTCCTTGCTTCTGTCTTTTCATTCCTTCCAATTAATGCCTTTGTATAGCTGTAAGTTTTTCATATCTGTGTGCTAATTTTGCAATTTCGGTAAAGAGATTCCATGCATCGGGGTTGCGTTTTTTCGCCTATCATTTCGGGGCTGTTTCCCCCCACATTTCAGTGCTGAAAATTCCAATTAGCATGTTTTCATGATCATTTTAGCCATATTGCTTGCGTATGCCATGCCTCGGTTTTCGGCGGTGCCCGTGTGCACAGGCAATTTCGAGGCACTTCATTTTTTCCCCATCCATCGGTAAATCCTATGTGAGTGTGGCCTTGAGGCTCTCTCCATGTTGGTACATAGAGCCCATAATCATATTTTCCATGTCAATTTTGCATTTGCGTATGCCATTGCCCAACGTGGTTGCGTTCCCGTGTGCACAGCTCACACCTGGTGCATCTGGTTTGAGGCCGATTCAGGGTCAGCAGCCAGCTCAGTCGGGTCAGGCCTCAAAGACTTGTGAGAGATGATTGGGTAGAGGATGAAGCGAAATGTGAGACCACGTGTCAAGTGCAGATTGGAGGACAAAGACAAAGGCGTAGGCCTACCTTAGTGGAATTAAAAGAAAGAAAATAAATAAATAAAAAAAGGTTAAAGAATGCACACACACTAGAGTTATTATAACTAAAGTAGTTGTGCCACTGATTTGATCTAATTATCTGATATAAGAGAATAATATTTAGCCTCTTTTTTGCATTTTTAATTCTTTTTATTTCTTATTATTACTGTTTTTGGTGTACATATTTTGTATGGTGACACTTAATTCTCAATTAATATGGTGATATTACATGCACCAATTAATATACACACTAGTTAAAAAATAACTTAAATAAATTTTAAAAATTAATTTTTAATTTTTTTTTAATTTCGACTTTTAAATTATCAAGTTTTAATTTATAAGTAAACATTCGTATAAACCACACCATTGAATTTATCACAAAGCATTCTATGCTCTACCCCAGCCAGTGTGAGTCAGTGTGATATCTACTGGTTGTTTTGAGAAGTTGGTTAAAAGTTAATTCTTTTAATTTTTTTTTTTAAAATGTGTAAAAAATAAAAAAGGTGATATGATCCAAAATAAATTAAAAATTGACTTTTGGCTTTTGTGAGACTTACATTATATTGTTTGGTTGTAATTTTTATTATTTAGATTATATTCTAATAGTCATTCTATCAAACAAATTTGACGTATTTTTTAATTCCCAACTAATTACGCAATACATACATATAATTGAGATTATATATTTCCATATTTATCGTAAAATAAATGTGAACAAGAGGTAATTATATATCTCACTAATTTAGATGGATAATTAATCTTACACTAATATCATGGGTTGTTAATCTTTTCATTATTAATTGTGCTAATCAAACATACCCTAAGAATATAGATTTAATAATGGGCCTCTAAGCAAATACATATGGATGAGTTTTTTTTCATATATATATTAAAAAAAAAAAACATCTTATTCACTTAAATCAATCTTTTGAACTCGGTTCAAGTGTGATGAATTTTATATATAAAGGAAAAAGAAATTTATTTTCTTGTATATATTATGTTCATTTGACATTAGAATTTTACAAGAAAAATTTAAATTTAACAGTTCATTTACCAAGAAAACAAAAGTTACAGGAAAGTTTAATTTTTTTTGGTTAAGATTTTCACAATGCAAAATCTACACATATGGATCTCATAAGTTTCTTACTGACCTGAACAATAAAATTTATGTGGAAAATTTGATTTCTTTGTAATTTACATGAAAACATATTTTATATGAGAGCGGTCTTCTTTATTCATTTATTTATTTGTTATTATAGGTAAATTTTGGATTGGACAATTGAGAGACGTTTGGGAATCATGCTCACACAAGAAGGCTGTGGCTTTTGGCATCTTTGCCCTTGTATGGAACCTGTCATCGGTCGTAGCTCGCATATGGGCAGGTAAGGACACTTTTGTCATTTCATTCATACCTATATATACGCATGAATAATAGTAAGTACATATAATAATGCATACTCTTAGGTTTTCTATAAAAAATAATGTATAGTATATATATTTTTCATCCCAAGTTCTCTCAACATAAGTAGTTTCGTGAAGTCGACAAATCTTAAAAACACATAAACATAATATTAGATTTAGTTAAATTTTGATAATCGTATGGTTATTATACAGTGTTTAACTGAATGCCTTGATTCGTGCAAAAACATATCAAACTTTTTTTTGTTACGTATTGTTTGTCCATTTGAGTCATATAATTGCATTTAGAAATTGACTATTTTAGTTGATTTTTTGACTTCTTAAGAAAAGATATACAGAAAAATAGAGAGCGTGATGTGAAATATAGCTTTTTGAAACATTTCAAAAATATCACAAAATAAAAAAACATTTCAAACTTAATTTAGAAAATATAGCTTTTTGAGCATATTTTTTAAGCTGAAAAAATAAATAAACTAAAATTAAAATATATATATATATATATCTTAACTTTTTAAATTACAAGTACTTAAACATGAAATTTCAAAATTTAAACTAAAAAAGTGCAAATAAATTTTGTAAAATAAATAACACATACATAAATTGTTGATAATATTTTTGGGTTTTTCTAACATGCATTATTGATTTACATCCCATGCAGTGTTCATGTTATTTGTGGCGTTCAGATGTTATCAACAATCACTTGTGAGAGATGATTGGGTAGAGGATGAAGCGAAATGTGAGACCACGTGTCAAGTGCAGATTGGAGGACAAAGACAAAGGCGTAGGCCTACCTTAGTGGAATTAAAAGAAAGAAAATAAATAAATAAAAAAAGGTTAAAGAATGCACACACACTAGAGTTATTATAACTAAAGTAGTTGTGCCACTGATTTGATCTAATTATCTGATATAAGAGAATAATATTTAGCCTCTTTTTTGCATTTTTAATTCTTTTTATTTCTTATTATTACTGTTTTTGGTGTACATATTTTGTATGGTGACACTTAATTCTCAATTAATATGGTGATATTACATGCACCAATTAATATACACACTAGTATACCAACTAGTGTTATGTCATTATTACTGACCTCACCTATTATACAAATTACAAATATTCAAAATTTCTAAAATTATGACATATCATTTGTTAGTATACTAGTTAGTATATTAATTGATACATATATCATTATTCCAATTAATATAAGTGTTGTAGTGTGTAGACCTCAATAATGGCTTTTGTACATTAGTGTGTACAAATAGATTTGATGATGTAAATTCAAAATTAGTGTGTCTTAAGATACAATTAGAAGAATGAATTTGATTCACATTTTTAAATTTTACATAAATTTCTATTTTTTTAATTTAAAATTATTTTTTAATATTTATTTTTGTCAAACTAGTTTATATTTTAAAAACTAAACCAAACAAAGTGAAATAATACATCTTTTCAAAATTGTCAAGTAAATTTTTTTTTCGCTAAACTAACTTTAAGTTTTGTTTAAAAAACACAAAAGTTATATATAAAGTTAACCAGATAAGCGGATTATTACTTTAAAAAATTTGAGACAAACATTGGACCAATTTAAAAACAAAATAGGTTCATTCTAAATAATAAGAGTAATGCTATATATGATATAATTTTATATTTTATTCTATTTTTCTCATACTAAACAAAAAAGATAATATTTTTCAATTTAAACATGACATAATGAGGTTCACATTAAATGTGTAGGTGATTCTATCCTTGTGTTTAGAAGTGAAGAAAAAAAAAATAATAATCGTAAATTACACTGACCTTTCATAAGGTTGGGTGAAAATATAACAATTTTTATAATTTTGACATAAGTATACTAATTTTTATTTTAGTAAGGTTAATGGATCAAAATTAGCATAGATGGTGTGAAAACGTAAAAAATAAATAAATTGAAATATAAAAGTAGATGACAATAGCAAATATTTCATTATATAACTAGCAAGTAATTAAAGCTACGTTTGGGATATGGGTTGATTTTTTAGTTTTTTAACTTTTTGACTATTAACCTGATGTTAAAAAATCTCGTTTGGAAAGTGTTTTTTTGGCTTTTTTTACTTTTGTAAGAGGGAAAAAAAACATGATTATAATTTGAATGTAACAATTTTTAGCTTAGGGCTAAAAGGCCTATTTTGACTTTTGAATAATACTATATGCACAAATTAGTGTACTAACTAGTGTACAAATTACAAATACCAAAAACCTATTAAATTATGTCACATTATCAATTGATACACTAATTAGTATATTAATTGGTGCATGTAGCACCACCGTTGTCTTTTTGTAACTATTTTATCCCCAACCAACCCCAACCCAACTTCCCAAACGATTATTGATAAAAATAAAACTAATTAATTATTGAACTTAAAAAATTATGAAACTATATTTTTATGTCAAAATTATGAAATATAGGGATATTTACACATAAGTTCTAATTTATGAACTTATACTTTATTAAGTTCTAACTAAGATTTTTTTGGACTTTCAAATTCCATTAATTTCTTAATAGTCGAAGTTATCTTGTGTGGGAAGAAAAAGTTCTAGACTTTTTGACTAAAATAGCCACACAAAACGTTATGCGATAAAAAATCGAAATATTACAACATTCAATAGCTGTTATAAGATATAAAAAGAATAATTCTTAACTCACGGATGGTTGATTGGTGTGATGGAAGGAAATATTACAGTTATAAGATATAAAAACGTTAATTAACTCATGGGGAGTCTACTGGGGAAGTGGAGGACTCATGAGGGTAGGCTAAACTACAAGATACAAGGCTATTGGCTGTGCTTTTCTAAATGTCTTGTAATAAAAAATAAGGTCAAGTTTGAGAAGACTAAATAAGTGTACTTTTTGACTTTTTTTGTATTATGCGTAGAAAAAGTAGAGAGGAGATGTTGATTGATGTGACCCAAAAAAGATGAAATAAGTGTACTTTTTTAGGTTAGCCAAACTTGGCCTAAATATTACAAAAAGTTATAAGAAATCTTAATATAGCGTGTATCAAATATAAAAAAAATGTTATGGACCCAAATGAATTATTAAATATTTTATCAAATCTTTTATATGAGTGTAGAATCTATACAAATTACATGTGGGTGGATCTTACATACATGTAAGAAATTTGATAGAATATTTGATAATTCATTTAGATTACCAAGCGTAACTCCAAATAAAATCTATGAAAAAAAATGGTGCATTAAATGCATAGTAATTGTGGTAGGGGAGTAGCTATGTTCATCACAGTGCTGTTAGTTGACACCACTAAATTTCAAAAAATAAAATAAAATAAAATAAAATTAGTTTTGAAAACAATTTTTGAGAGGCTCAAAATCTAAAATTTATTTGGTTCATAATTTTCTCAAAACTATTTTCAATCATTTTTACTATCTCATCTCTCCTTCTCTTATATCATATATATATATATATATATATCAATCACTTTTTCTCTCTTATCTCTCTTCTCTCCTTCTTTCACATTCTACACATAAATTAACCATTCTGAAAACTTTACATATTGACCCCGACCCTCCCAAAAAAAAACTCGCTCTAACGATTTTGATATCCCAATATTTTGTTTTATTTGTAATTTGACTAGTTTTGATTGGTTTTGTCAATATAATTGAAAATGTATGAAATTTATAAAGTATCATATAAATGTTAATATTGTTTAGTTGTGTAAAATTAAAAATATGATATAATGACATTGATGATAATGTTTTGCTAAATAAACCCGAAATTCCTAACTATGCCACTGAGTTGTGGTACTATTTTTCTGTAGGGATCAATGTTGACTATTTTTTGCAAAAAACTTTGACTATCAATCCATACATACTCCATAATAGTAGTTGTTTTCAGCTTGCTCCCTCTTAAATGAGTTTCCACCCACCAACCACGATCACCCTACCGGACTTTGTTTACCATATCCTTTGTTTCCATGTGCTTCACTTTGAATCCAGGTGAATGCTTTAAATAATTTATTTATTATGTTTATTAAAAAATAATTTATATAAAAAATTTAATTAATCGAATATCAATAATCAGGATCAAATTATTTTTTTAAAAAAATATTCTTAAATCATATTTCTCTTTCATATTTTTAAGACAAATATAATTCATTCTTATAACTACTAATAATATACTTTATTAAATAAATAATCTTATGAACAGAGTTTTACACAATAAATTATTCATATCATGAAAAAGTATTTGAGATGGGCGATTGAAGGGCACACACACTACAAGGATTCCTTGACTAATTGATAGATGAAATTGGTTTTGTTCACGTGCTTCCAAATTGTGTGGGAAAAAAAACACACACACACTTGCTGCTGGTCTAAATCAGTAAAAACTCATTCAAAAAGCGTATTAATCCCGCCCAAAAAAGTTATGATTTTCAATGTTTTGGAGTATATCATAAAATCTGTCTATTATATTTTAAATCAATAATGATTCAGAGTATTAGTTTTGATACTCTAATAGAGTAGTAATAACATGACAAGGAAAAAAAAATCAAGATTAAAACATCACATCATAATGTGTGAGACCTACTATCAACTCATTAGAGCTAGCTTTAGAACTTACGAATTAAAATTTCAAAACATTTTTCTATTTTAAATGGCCGATATGGATAGCCCCAAATTACAGCCCAATATTTTGACTCTCTGGACCTACAAATCCACCCATCTAATTCTCTGAAGTTTCATAAAAAGGCCCAAATGATAAATACTTCTAATCACCCAAACACCATGGTCAACAAATCAGCCAAGTAAAAGCTTTTGTGTGGGATAGGCTATTAGTGGGTTTTGATTATTTTAATTTGTGGAAAAAAGTTAGGTTTGGAATGATGTTCAGGCTTTTTTGGCTTTTTTGTATGGGAAAATGTGTTTGGAATAAGTATTTTGCCATTTTACCCTTGATGTGACACTTGCAAAATGACATTATAAATTAAAGTTTCCGGGGTATTTTGGTAATTTTCTCAGGGCCTTCACCTGTTGCGCAAAACTCTTTTTTGGTTATATTAGCCTTTTTTTCAATGTTTCCATTATTGTACTGATTAAGCCCCATTTGTTTTGGGTATATACGTAGAAATTGGATTAAGATAGAGGTGAAATTTATTTAATGTTATGTTTGTTCATAAATTTGGAGAAGGGATTGAGATAGGAGAATAGCAGTAACTGTTATGTATCAATTGAAGGTTTATTATGGACTTATTTTTATGTTCTAAACCATTCATTTTATAAGATTTGTTGAGTACTTTATTCTTACTAAAAATCATATTAATCGGATATCAATAACTATATGATCAAATTGAATATTTTTTATGCTATTTCTGAAAAGAAAAACTTATTGTTTATTTTTTTTATGATAAATGTAATTCGATTATATAGTTATTGATATCCGATTAACATGATTTTTTGTAGGCATGAAGTACTTAACAAACCCTACAAAATGACAGTTCGGATCATAAAAATAAGTCCATAATAAACCTCCTATTAAGGAACAACAGTTACTGTTATGCCAAAGGCACAGCAGTAATCCCATTTCCTTGAGATGGAGATCCGAATTTGGTTGGGCTTTAGGAGGGGGATTGAGATGGAGGAGGTGGAGGTGGAGGTGGAGGTGGATGTGGTCTTAAAAAAACAGTCTGCCGAACTATTTTTATTTTTGTTTTTATTTTTTACATGTTGGGCATTTTTTTTTTAACATTAATGTTTATAATGTTTTTGTATTTTTTTATTTGTTTTATTATTTTATAGAAAAATAATTTTACGATTCCTACGCCAACAACTATCATCAAAACAAACTCAATTTTACTTAATCTCTTCATTATCAATTCCTTCACAATTAATCGCCTCCATTAATTCTACCACTGAAAACAAACGATACTTAAATTAGCACCCAAACCAACATCTCAAATATTACTCAAAGGCCCAGATATTCACCCACTTAGTGGTAGCAATGGCATAGTAGAGGTGGTAATGTTGGGGTAAAAGTGGTGTTGGTGGTGGGTTAATGAGAGTAATGGTAAGGAGTGTGGTGGTGATAGTAGCAATAGCAATGATTGCATTAATAGTGGTGGTG